TAAGCCTCTTTTCCTGAAACAATACTTAAATGTTGGCCAGTAACTAGCTTACAGTAGCGTGACAGTAACTCAGCTATTGTCAAAACAAAGCTTATCCAGTAAAAAACAGCTTTTTCAAAAAAGCTGCATTGTAATGTTTTGACATGTTATATTTTCTTTAATGTTATGTTGTATTTATATGTACAATGTACAGTTGAACAAACTGCTCTCTCCTAAAATGTCTCTTTCTTAGGAACCACTGGGAAGTCTAATCGTTTTAGTGAATTGGTATGTTCATAAATGATTCATTTGAGTCATTTCATGTCATATTTTTATGTGGCAAAATTGCTAAATGCTATATTTCGTCACCAGTGTTGGGGTAATGCATTGCAAGTAACGTGAGTTACATAATCAGATGACTTTTTTCAAGTAACTAGTAAAGTTACGCATTACTTGTAAATTTACAGCTAAATATCGGATGTACTTCTTCAAATAAGTAACGCAAGTTACAGTACTTTGTTTTCCCACTCATTGACTGAACTTTCTTGTTCTGCATCCTATTCTTTTGTGATCCAGAATGGGAGTACAGCTAACAGTTTGTTTGAGCTGCGCCCTCTACTGTACAGGCGGGAATGTGCATTTCCTTTAGCCTGAGGCTTATTCATTTCACTTTTGATATGAAAGGGCCATTACATTTCCCAAAAATAGAACTTTTTTTGTTATTAAAAAACAAACAAGCAATGCAGCCCAGGTGAGAAAAACGAACACAAAAGTAGCGTAACACATTATTTTCCATAAAAAGTCAATTAACTCAATTAGTTTTTTTTAAGGAAGTATTGTAACGCATTACTTTCAAAAAGTAATTTGTAACACTGTTCGTCACTATGTTTTTGACTTGGTTATATCAATTAGAGTGTTTCTAGTCACACACTTCAAGAGTGTTTCTAGTCTTTTCTGTCTCCATGATTAAATTAAATTATAAAACTAAATTATATCTAATTATATAAATTTCCATACCGTACTGTGGGCATTTATAGATATTTAAGAAGCCATCACTCCTTAACTTACTACAGTGCTAATTGCTAATACAAAGACAACATTGGACAACACAGAGAGTTCAATTCAGCAATCACTGACTCTTATGAGCAGGTTCTTTGAATGAATCAGTCAGAAAGACTCATGAAGTTTGGGCCCTTTTTTTCTTCAAAAGTTTAGTTTGACTGTAGCTTAACTGCATTTAGCGATGAATAGCTCCAAGTATTTTCAAAGTGGCTTCCAATTACTGCTTGATAAATGACGATGTACACCAGAAAACACCCTTGAGGAACCAACTAATTTTCTGTTGTTGTTTAATGCATAGTGCTTTAACGTTTTACTTTATAATTGATGGAGATGGAAGGTGTGATTTATCCTGGGCTGTGAAGACGCTAATAGATCCATTGATCAGTAGTCAAATATCCACATCTCTGTTATTTTCCTTCATTTATTCTCCTGCTGATGCTTTAATGCTCATGTGCTTGTGTTCTCCTGTGTGCATTTTCAACAAATGAGAAAACATTCACTGTCACAGAGTCATCGACTCGCCCTTACACATTATAAACCCCTGTGAATCACTCTCTATAGGTCCAGTGTCCTGATCGACAGACAGAGAGAGAGAGAGAGAGAGAGAGAGAGAGAGAGAGAGAGAGAGAGAGAGAGAGAGAGAGAGAGAGAGAGAGAGAGAGACAGGGAATTTTGGAGAAGTGGGAGAGGAACAGAAATGGACAGACAGAGAGGCCTGACATAATTTCTATAATGGAGGCAAAGTTCAACAGCTCATGATGTCATCAGTCCTCCAGAGTCTCTTTGCTTGGCAGGAAAATATTCTCGTGAAAAGAGAGAGGCGAATAGCCCAGAAAGCATAACTCCTTTTCTACTGCAATTTGCTTCTGCTTTTTAAAGGCAGAGCAGGCAAGTGAGATAAGACGGGAGAAGAAAGACAGAGACATCAAGTCACAGAAATTTTTTTTCTGAAGGTGTTTTATCCAATTGCTGCAACAACGTCAATCACCTAATTAATTTATTCTTTATTGTCAGCCCAATCAGGAAGGGCGTCACTCTATCCCATTTGTGAAGGAGGAACTGCATCAAGCTTTAGCATTTTTGTTAGTACATATTCATTTTATTTAATTTTTTTTTATCTATGTGGCACTATTTTTGGATAATTTAGTTGAATTACATACTTCACAAATTAATGAATTTACTTATTTTCTTTGGACTTTATGGATGCAAGCCAAATGACTAGATTATTCGTACCTAATTGATATATTTGTGACTAAATGGTTTTAATAATAATGTGGTAAATTATCACATTGCTTGTCAACTTGTAAACAACAAAACTTTGCTTTACGCTGTGCCTAGCAACACCCTGCATTGTTCTTCGCTGAATTGACATATTTCCTGTTAAAACAGGAAGCTTGGACATTTTAGGCTTTAGTTAGCTGGTATTATTGTCATACTTGTTTTTAGAGTGTATTTGACTGCACACAAATCTGCATATAGTGCAGCATAAGCCATCCATATATTAGAATATATTTTATTACTGTAACATACTGTAATATATTTTTGCTGTTGTATTAGAAGAGAAAACATTCTCATACTGCTCAGCCCTAGTCAGAAAGACTCCCAAAGAATGGCTTAAACTGCCTGAATGGGGGGAAAAAAGTCCATGGAGTTAAAGAGCTCTCTCAGCTGGTCTGAGTGCTTCTCATTATTTTGGCATTGTGTGTATGAATGGATAGAGGAGGCTGTGGAGGTATGCATACACGCATTTGTGCATGTACGTTTACGCATTCCTCCGTCTATGCGTGCATCAGTGCTCTGTGTGTGTATGCGTGTGCCAGCACTACATGGTGACATCTCAACCAGCTGCTCGCAGGCAGTAAAGCCTCTTGGGCACTATTGTGTCCAGCCTCGGTGTCCTCCGGCTTTAAGGGAGACACTAACAGGGACTGTCTCTCACCCGGGCAGCACAGGCAGGGCATTCATCTGTCAGATATGCCCTCCGTGAGCCTCTCCTCTCTCTCCTCCAGCCCCGAGCACAGGGACACCATTCATCAGAGCACTGCCACTCTCCACACAGACCTTTAAAACACACAGGGAGGGATTCACGCGGAATGAATTGTGCTCACTGATAACGTCGTTTCTTTGCTGTCTGCGTTGTTTTGGCACAGAACGACGCAAACGAGACCAAACATTTCGCACTAAGCACAATTTGTATGGCACATTTCTAGATATTGTGGGCAGTGAGGAGTTTCTGTGCGTGTACAGAGGTGCATAATTAGCGTTATACCACAGGGATCTGAAAGGAAGATGTAACTGCAGTTTTTGCTGCATGCCGTTTCACATCACCTACTATCCTAGATATTATGTTAAAAACAAAGTGCTCTGATAATGTACTATTTCCACAGAGTTTTCAAAATTTGTGGATCGGGTTTTCTGATGTACGATGGCATACTCTCTGACTACATTCTCAAAAATACACTTTTACATTAACAGGGAAGTACATGAAAGTTTGAGTTTGGTAAGGTTTTTTAGGGTTTTGCTGAATTTTTAATTACTGACCTCAAACTATTGAACAGTAGTTTATGTACTTTATTCTGCAACATGCACATTGAGAATCAGGCTGTGTGAATTGGCTAGTAAGTAATGGAGAGAAGGAAAGAAATACGCTTACCTCCTAGTAAGTTCCTACACATGAGTCTGAAAGTCATAATTATGATGTGAGGTGTTTTTTCCCCGAATAAAACATTCAGCATTTTCTTATTTCTTTCTCTCTTTAAAACTTCCATGACAAAGACAGGAAGCTTTTAAACACTACAAGATGAAGACCACACATTGTATGCACTAGACCAAAAATGATACTTCACTTGTGAATTTGATCTTTTTCGTGCCGCCACAGAGAATTATGCTATACAAACTACCTCGTAAACTAGATAATTGAGTTGAATTTTTGAACAAGCTTTATTGATATTGCATCAATATACCTGTACCTGCAAGGTCAACATAACTTCACAATGACAACTGCACAACAAATACCAAATTGCTTCCTCCATGATCCATGAATTGATGCCTCCAGTCCGAAGTGAGTTTCCCACTGATAATCACAACTTTGTGATGGCGTTCATGCGGAGCTCATCTCGTAAATACGATCATTCCTTCATGACTCGAAGGCAGCATGTGTCCTGACAGGGGAGGTCTGTTAGTAATCAAGCACATGCTGGCTATCTGCTGCACTGCATCAATCACCTGTTAGCTTGAGCTCAAAACTCTCAGTGAACTCACGGTTGGAGAGCTGTAGATGGGGGTATGTGGGGGACATGGAGCGCACTGTGTTGGAAATGAGCCATTCCTTCCTGTTCTACTGCACAATGCCCCTCTGCTGAATCACTCAATAAGAGAGGTGAGGGTTACAGCAGAATAGTGGAGTGTCTTGATTGAAGCTAAACTCCCCTCTTTCTTTTTATCGTTGAACAGTTCAACGAGGGTTTCTGCAGTAACAATGACTGATCACAATCAGTCAATCAAGCACTGTGAATTTGTTGAGAGGACAGTTATAGAGTGTCATTGGTTGACTGTAGCTTTATTAGGATGGGTGATACATGTGTCTATTGGCACAGTGCCAGGCTTAAGTGGGTTTTTGCCAGAGAAGGGGGGGGGATTGGTCCAGGGGGCCGAACTACAAATATTTGTTTAACTGTCAAAGACCAGCCGCACTTGTGGGTGGCTTTGTAAACGAGAGGACAGATGGAGTCCATGTTGTGTAAATGTGCCGGGAAGGGGTTTGAAGCAAAGAGACAAAATGTAAAAAGCAATGTTGCGTTACACTATGTTTTACTGCATGTTAAAGCAGAATGTTAAAATTAATCAGCATGAATTTAGTGCTGTCCACTTGTGATCATATTGCCAAGAATGGATCCAGCGTGTAATGCGTTATCATTTGTGAATATAAACTCAACCCTTTTCTCTTTCCTCTCTTGCAGAATGTGTTGGCAAAGGCCCTGTACGACAATGTGGCGGAGTCTCCAGACGAGTTGTCCTTTCGGAAGGGCGACATCATGACCGTCCTGGAGCGAGACACGCAAGGCCTGGACGGCTGGTGGCTTTGCTCGCTGCACGGCCGTCAAGGCATTGTTCCTGGCAACCGGTTGAAGATTCTTGTAGGCATGTATGATAAACAGCAACAGCAGCAGTTACAGCAGTTGTCGAGCCAACCCAGCCCAACCCAGAGCCTTCTCAACCTGCCTCAGAGTGCCTACAACAAGCTTCCCCCCTCATCCCAGTACACAGCCATGCACCCCGCCTTCACCTCCTCCAGCTCCGCCAACTCGACCAACCCAGACGGAGTCTACATGCTCCCCCCCAGCCACGGCCTGCCCGCCTCCTCCAACCTCTACCAGGTGCCCACCGGCCCCCAACCTCCACAGCCCCAACCTAAAGCCCCCGCTGTGGCAAAAAAGCAAAGCCAGGCACAGTACCCTCCCACCCCGCAGGATGTCTACCAGGTGCCCCCCTCCATTAATGTTCCAGGCCAGGACATCTACCAGGTGCCACCCACTGCAGGAGGGCCGTGTCCCGGGCAGGACGTGTACCAGGTGCCACCCTCTATGAACCAGACACAGGACATTTACCAGATTCCGCCATCAATAGAGAGGAGCTGGGACTCTCCCAAACCCATGGGAAAGGTAGGAAAAGATTGTCTTGTATTACCATATATGTAACACATTTTCAGACATTTACTTTCATAACAAACAGAAAACTTGAAAGAAGAAGAATTTTAATTTAATTTATTTATTTAATCAAAAAGATTGGTTTTGTGGAAACATGATTTTACCCTACAAACTATTCATAATAACTTACATTTTTCCCTATTTACTTTTTAAAAACGTATTCTATGTCGATTCATTGGGTAATATTATAAAAAAACATATAATACATAACTTTCTCCACTACGGTTTCACTCTATAATACATATTTAGTAAGTAAAATAGGAACAGCATTTAATGTAGACCATGTTTATACACAAGGACATGTGATGAGAGATAGCCTGGAAAGCATACAGAAAGACTACCTAGAGAAATATAGACAGAGGGGTGTTTGAGGGAGGAGAGTGTTGAAGACAGTCATAAATAATGCAGAGTTTTTAACGCCGGTGACTGTGGGCAGTACAGAGTGAGTAAGCACTTTTTTCGAGTGGTAACTACAGGTTGAAGCTGTGGGCAGTGACGGTCCCTTGAGAGAGTGTTTCAGGCCACTCTTAGGGCACTGAGCCATATGCCACAGCTGCCGCAGTGGCAGGGGAAATGAAGTGTAAAGATGGAAGGTTGAAGTGAGGAGAGGTTCAGCTGCAGACCTGCTCGCTGTTAGCCACCAGTCAAATCTGCCTACAGCCATAAAGATAGAGAAATGACTCAGTGTCACTGCTTCTGGTCACTGTGACATGGTTAGGTAGATATTTAAAACTATAGCATGCTAATGAGGTGCTATGCTGTTATGTTAATGACTGCATCATTTCTTACATCTTGATTATATATAAACTGAATGTGTTCAGGCAGTGACAGTAACATTCTCATTGTGTGGAAAGTTTCCAATGCAGATAAGTACCTTGATATAGTAAGGTATCGGTTCTGGAAAATAATAGAAATTTAAATGTATAATTTACAGGCCTGGAAAATTCTTGAAAATTAATCAGATATACTATATTGTCCAGGGTTTTCCAAAGTGGGATTTGTTAGAGAACTGCAGTTTTTTTTGTTGAAAAAATAATCTTTAAATAAATCATTTAAAATAAAAATAAAAATATATATAAAATTCAAAATATAATTATATTTTGAAATGTTTTATTTGTTTACGCTCATTTCATGTGACACTTAACCAACACCAGAGAACTATCAACATGCGAATGTGTTGGTAAATTGAAATATTGAGACCAATTTAACATCTCAAGGGGTAATTCAAATAAAAATAATTGGTCAAAGGGGTTTGGCTGACTTTTTTTGGGGGGGGGGGGGGGGGGTGTAGTCTATAGTAGATTGAAATGTTTCTAATTACACTATTTGTCTCTCTAACATCTTTGTGATGTTAAAAATCCTTATATAGTCATACATTTCAGGAACAGTCTTGGAAAAATCATAGAAATGTACCATGTACCATGGTATGTACATGGAATTCCAAGGTATCTCAAAGAATACCATTCTTACCATTCCAAACTTGAAGGTAAGACCGTGGTAATTTTTGGCATGTTTTAGTTTTTGTAAAATAGTTGGCATGGTTTTTGTTGTCGTTGGTAAAATGGTTCCCTTTCAGTCAGTCACTATGAGTTACGTCAGTGACTGACGCAATGGGGGTTTCGCTTAGAAGCCTATCACCTTCGAGTTCTACAAAACGAGCCAATGGCAAAACAATGCCATGGGTCTGCGGAATTTGCATAGCACAACTCCGCCCCACCTCGTGGGTATAAAAGGAGCTGCTCGTGCAATCTTGCATTATGTTTCTGCTTCGGAGCCGAGTGTTACTTCACTTCTCTCCACTGCAAAGCTGTCTACGAGTTTGAAAGACGAGACGAGCGACTCTTCAGCGGTGTTGGTGTTACGGTGTGTTCCAGCGAGATCTCATTCCTGCTGCTGGTCTGTGCAGTGACCTGCCAACAGTGTGTGCTTTCTCCCTGGGCGCTTCAGCACTGCTGTTGAGTTTTTTCCTCTCTAAAAGAGCTGCACGTGCCGCGTCTTTTTAAAGATGTCTCGCCCGTGTATTTCTGGGTGCGGTAGACGGATTGATTCCGCTGATGGGCACGAGTGCTGCCGAGTGCTGTTTGGGCGTAAATCACGCACAGGCAGCATTCATGGATGCGTCATGTTCCCATTATGGGAACAAGCGTCTGAGGTCGCTTCGTGCCATTTACATTCCGGGCGAGCTCAATCGTGCAGCCGACGAGCTCTCACGACAACGCTCATGTCCCGGGGAATGGAGACTCCATCCCCAGACGGTTCAGCTGATTTGGGAACAGTTCGGCGACGCACAGGTAGATCTGTTTGGCTCCCCAGACATTTCCCACTGCCGCAGGTCCTTTTGGTTGCGCCTTATTGGCCCAGCCGAACTTGGTTCTCCGAATAGGTGCTCCTCGCGACAGCCCCTCCCTGGCCAATCCCTCTGAGGAAGGACCTCCTTTCTCAGAGATGGGGCACCCTCTGGCACCCGGAAGGTTTGAGTACCCTACCACCTCAGGTGGTGGCTACCATCACTTCAGCTAGAGCCTTGTCCACGAGACATGCCTATGCCTACAAAGAACATCTTCGTCACCTGGTGTTCTTCTCGCCGAGAAGATCCCAGAAAATGCCCTATCGGGTCTGCACTCTCCTTCCTTCCTTGTGTTTTGAGTGAGTGGATTCTGACTAACTTAAATACCACTGATTGGCCATTGCGTTCAAGAGATCAACAACTATGTTTGTTATTGGCTACATTGCTCACCGCTGTAAAAACACATTGTAAATAGATACATTTGACGTTCGTAGCATTTGCCAAATCTGTTTCGCCAATATATTAATACAGTATCAACTGAGGGTGTTCTCGTTTGCATTCTCTAGCCCCCCTGAAGAACCGGGCCTGAAAAGAGAACTAGGAACAAGGAAACTAGACCTCTATTATCATGTCCTTCCGTAATCATTCTCAGAAACATTAGTTTCTATTTGCAATGCTTGTCTTGAGGTTTTCCTTTCATGAGTTTTATGAGGAGAGATTTTGATGTGTTTTCTTAACGTCCTCTATTATGATTACTTGTCCTTGTGCCCATAGTCCCTCCATCACTTGCAGCTTTTCATTATGTGATAAGAGTGAGAGAGAAGAGGATGGACACACACACACACACACACAGCAGAGCGCAAAAAAAAAACCTTTATACTTTTACTCTGCTTAATAAAGGAATGTATTTCAAGGCAGAAATACTCCAGTCGGTTAATTCTCTCAAGGCTCATGCATAACTAATTGACTGGCAGCAGTGTGTGTGTTTGTGTTATGTTGGGGTAAAATAGAGTGCAACAGAGGCTTTTCATTTTTAAGCGTGATTAAACTGTTATATTACTATTTTATTTTTGATCAAATAAATGCAGCCTTGGTGAGCATAAACATTCATCAAAACAGTGAAAAAATCTACTCCAATATTTTGAACAGTAGTGTACATGGTAAACATTTTAGGGTATTAGGTAAACTGTAAAATATTTTCAGATATTTAAATTGTTTGAAAGATATAGACTTGATTATTGGTTATCTCTCTTTGGGACATAGGTAGTGTAGTTTTTAGAAATGTTGTTATAAATCCTAATTTCAATAAGTAGTGGTTATGCTTAACTATGGACAGACTCACTCATACTGTGTACTGTGGATATGTGGATACTGTGGCAGCAGTAAGGAGTTACATGATCGTTGTGGATGGGGTCAGGGTTAGGAGTGAGGGATTGTGATGAAGCAGCTGGAACAACAGCGCTGTGTGTCACATCAAAGACATGCGCAGGCAGGGTGTGTCAGCACGCGACCCACAAAGCCCTCGCACGCTTCTCCAACGGGCAGGAGTTTAATTCCTCCCTTACTTTCCCCTGTCTGAATGAATCATTATGGACTCTTATTTATGGAAGTCATTTCACATTGTGCGATATATTACAAGAAATTACAAATAATAGCCATAATTGAAAGAAATGAAGTCTCGTAAAGTAGCAATTATGAGAAACACCGTCACAATTACCATATTTTTTGTTTACTACCAGGTGGAATCGAGCTTCCATAACCATTTGCATTTGCTAAAAAGCTAAACTCAGTGACTCGCATCAAAATCAAAATTTGATTAGAATTAACACTAAATATTATGGCATGCTTCAATAAAAAAAAAATCTTACGAAATATGACCGTAATACCGGATGTGACCTTCAGTTGCAAAAATAAGATTTGTAGATGTTTGTGACTCACCGCTGCTAAGACTCGCCCTGGTGTCCTGCTTACACATTAACCAAAGTGAGCTTACACTATCAACTCAAGTTGCACATTGACCATTAGAGTAAATAAAACTGACGGATGAAGAAAGATTTGAGCGTAAGCTTGTTCGTCCGGTTTAGGGCCACGTGAGCGTGTCACAAAGAGGGTTTGTGGGTGAGGTATTTAGTTCTATTATGGATCCAGTTGAATGGACAGTGAAGAGGGACAGCAGAGGTGGAGAAAGAGTCTGGTCTTATCTCTTTAATAGCCCCTGCTATAGCCGTTCTCAATGCTGGACAGATAGCTGGGGTTTATTAAGGCTAGGTGTACTGGGAAACAGGAAGGGGGTGATGGCAAAGGCTAGATTGAGATTCTACTGTTAGTTTGCCGCACTGCCTGTTCTGAAAGTAAATGTGTAATCTTTGGAGACTTAGTTGAGGCTGCTCACCTGATCAGGCAGGGGAGAGGAGGGAGAGGGAGGAGGTGCTTGCTTGGCTTATCTGCAGGACCAGGCAGGCAGCGTTTAGAGGAGAGGGAGGGGAGAAGATTGTGAGGAGACAGAATAAAGGAAGACCAGAGGGATCGTAGATCCAAACTCCACTGACACATTCACGGAGCTACATTGGTATGGAGAAACACACTAGTTTAATATCTGCTATCATAATGTTATCAATGTGTTAAGCAATGTTATGAGTGAATTTCAAGCATCATTTTTACAGCACTG